TGGTCCTTCCACTTGAGAGTTGTGGGAAGAGAGGTTGCCAGTGAAGGCTCAAACAAAAAAGTTGTTGAGCACCTCAGCTTTCCCCTCATCCGTTGTTACCAATTTGCCAGTCTTGCTCATGATGGGGAGTACACTTTCTTTGACCTTCCTTTTCTGCCTGACACACCTATAGAAGCCCTTCTTATTATTCTTTGTGCCCCTTGTCAAGTTCAGCTCCAGCTGTGCCTTGGCCTTCCTGACCCCATCCCTACACAACTGGGCAGCATCTTTATACTCTTCCCAGGTTATCTGTGCCTGCTTCCACTGCCTGTGCATTTCCTTCTTTTAAACACACTGAACTAAAGTTGACTGTCCTCACCTTCACTTCCAGCAACAGATCTTACCTATGTGCTCACCTCCTGCCCTATCAACCCTGTCCTGGATCAGCCTTCCACCAAGTGTAACATCATTCAGCATTTTGGCATGTGCACACCTGGACATTGTTCAGGAACGATGTGCCCCGTGTCATTCAGAAAAACCCTCTCCCTCCTCCACAAGTGGGTTTACACTTACTGTAATAAATGCAAAGGCACATCATCTAACAGAGGAGGGTGTGAGCTTTTCCTTTCCTGTTAGCATTTTTCAGTTCAGAACTACACAATCACCTACATTTCCCATGAGAGTTTAACTTCATAGCTTTCCTTTTCTGTTGCTTTTTCAACACTTACTGCAGTTACCTCAAAACCAGCCTGCGGACTCTATAAGCACCTAGTATTTTTACAGCCAGCTACTTGGGGACTTCTGATCACTGCTACAACACATCAACTATACAACACCAAAGGAAGTTGCCAAATGCCACAACACCAGGGACATTTTTTTGTACTGAGAGAGGTCAGAACACCTAGCAGAGCACTACTCTTGTAAACGATATAAAATGACATTGCAAGCTAAATGCTTTGCAAGGCAAATATAAATCTCACCATCATTCACGTGTTTGAAAAAATCACCCTATGTTACATAGATCGTCAGGACGAGCTGGGCAATCCACCAATAATTATTCAGCTGTCCCATAAGAGAGCCTAAGAGAAGTGACAAAATGACAGTTTGGAGACAACATGGGCCGCTTGCACCACTGGGAAACTGCAATTTCACTTCAGGTGGGCCTGGACTCCAGCTTATGTTCAAAGTACAACCTCAAAACTTGTTAAGTTCTTAACCACTATGAAAGAAGAAATTCATTCAACAGGGAACAATATTTTCCTTCTAAAAGTATTAATAAAAATATTTACTTTCAGGGTCTTTTCCTCCTTACAATATTTAGGTAATATTTTAGCAGGACAGTCCTGGCTCTCACCTACAAGTGAATTAGGGCTTTATCAATCCCATAAACTGATTTCAAACCACATTGGGTTGTCCCAAGAGTCCCTTCCCAGAGCATGTAGCTTCAGAACTAGTTCCAGAGACCTGAACTGCTTTCTCTATGGGGAGAAAAGTAATATTTCTGTAATAGACTGACCTTTCTTCAGATATGTTGATATCTGAAGGATGTCAGTTCATTGTGAGAATTTGGGACCTGGCGTGGCTCCAAAGGCTCCACATGTTCTCAAAGGGACCTTGCCTGTAATTTTAACCCAGTAAAACAAAAGTCCATGGCTGGAAAAGGGTAGTACAGATTGAAAAATCTCACTGCAATTCAAACACAGGTATATTACTTGCACCAGTGATTTGGTGGCAACACTTCACAAAGACAAAAGATAACAGGTTTTACTTCTATGACCAGCCTGCATTCTTGCACATCACATGAAAGAAAAGAATGGAAACGTGGCTGAATGTGACAAACCACCAAACTGCAACAGTTTTTTGGGTGGGGGTGGAGAGAAACGTACATACTACAAAAATCTAATAATTCTCCACCCAGGCATTGCTAGTGAATGACCTCACTGGTTTCCTACATATACTCCAGCAGCCTTCCTGCCATCACTCTGTTGAGCCAAAGCAATGATGTCAACAGTCCACCTGTGAGAATGATGTAGCCCTCTAGGTCATGGTCGCAGAGAACTTGGATAAAAGCTGTGCCAGTGTTAATTAAATGCACCTCTTGTTTCACTGCTGATTTCCTCCGATAAGGCTCAGCTCATTTTTCCTGGAAAGACTTCCATGCTGTAAGGGAATTAGAGCCAACCATAACACAAATCAAATATTGCTTAGAGAATATGAAGACAACACATTAAATAGTTTTTTAAAAAAAAAAATAATTATTGCCTACCAGCACTGTAAACAGAAATCTCATTAATTTACATGTGCTAATGATAAGGTTAAACTACAAAGGCTAGTAACTGCAGATAGTTTATTATCTCTTTAATTTGTAATGCTCTTCCAGATTAATTTGGAGCAGTATTCTGCTTTACCACTGATAAATTCTGCCAGGTAAAGAGTGAGAAGAGCTCATTCAGTAAAAAATATGCTTTGAGAATGGAGTTTGACACTTAATTAGTATCAGAATTATCACTACAACTTTAACAAATGTGTTCACCAATAGCATTTGTTCTACCATCAGAAAGGTCTTAGCTGTAAGAAGGCTCTAAGCATATTAGGTACTAAGGATCTTCTTCCATTAATACAATTATCCAGCAAGTAATGAAATGAAAAAAAAAATACTGCTCCTTCTTTTTTTTCCCTATATAAAGAAATCTAACCCACTGTCATGTCTGGGTGCTTTAACAATATACTGTCACCAGGATTTCTGTAATCCCTCTACTCATAGCATCTGACTTCCAGCCACTTTAAGCCTTCAGGATGTGCCCTTTTATCCTTGCTTTGGTCTTGTAGACATTTTTCAGATAGGTTTATTAGTAAGAGAACTGTCAAAGGAAGCCTCTGAGTTTGGAACCTGACATCAAAAATATTTATCCTTGCACAACTTAAAAAGTACCACTAGCCCTAAGACTTAATTGCTGACAGCAACACACAAAAAATCTGAAGTTGGCAAAATAGGAAAGTGATCTCAAAAGTAGTGGTAGAACTCTATTATGAGAGCTTGTTTCCTGATGATCACAACTATCAATTCTGAAAGGCAGCAAGTTCACCCTCTTGCCATAAATTTAATTCTAGAGAAAGAATTGTATGGCAAGGTTATTAGGAATGCATTTATATTCATTCATTCATTTTGATTTGTAGCAATTTGATTGTTCCAAGGAGTGCTCTGTCCCACATTCCTGAGCATTAGCAATATTTCCCAAACAACCAATTATCTATGTCTGTCTGTTGAGATTTTTAGCTCTTGGGGAATCTTATGTTTATACAGTACCTTGCCCTACAAGCTCTCTTGGAATACAAAACACTAAGAGTATACTGCCTATCCAGTTTCTGCTATGGGAAAAGTTCCATGGCTATACTACCTCTCATCAAAGTCAGGGTAACTAACTTAGACATGTTTTTTTACAATCTCCTCCAGTAAGAAAACCCTTATATAAAATGTCCTTCTCAAGAACCGCTTTTGGTTCTAGGCAGAAACTGAAAATGAGAGATAATCCTTGAGCTTGTTTGGTCTATTCTGGTCCTATGGACAGTTCCTATGGATTTATGAGGCTGAACTGCAGCTAGTTTGTGTTGAAGCATGCGAGTGTGACTCATTCAGAAAGCTCAACCCAAGAACATTTCACTCTGACATCCTACAGAAGAGCTTTCTCATGGATTTGAAGTACTTGCTGCCCATTCTTCACATTCACTCCTCACAACTTTATGACACACAACTTCCAATGCAAACCTGAATCCAGGCCATGAAGGAGATACTAGAATTTCTGACAAATTTTATTCTGCCATCAGTAATTGGAATTTGGTCTTACACAACTTAAATACACAGCTGTGCTCCACTTCTGGTAGATGCACATAATGTGTCCAGGCAAAAGGAAAGCATATCCCCAAGTCCAAGTGAGTTAAAGTGACAGAGTTTCCTGAACTCCAGGAACTCTCCTGGTCAGAAAGTACTTCCTTCCTTGTTTCAAACACTTGATTGTTTCAGAGGGAATTCAAAACAATAGATTAGAAACTTTCAACCTTTCCGAAGTGTACTGTTACACAAGGAAATCAGGCCGTGCTCTGGGAAGATGAGATAACATTGGGAGAGTACGCTTTCCGGAAATGCAATGGCTTTTGCATCCCTCCTCTAGCACCATCCCATGAATCAGATACATTTAAGTAATAATTCATGCTATGAGATGTCAGATGCAGTTCAACTACTGTTTGGAATAAGATGTGCACAGTTGGCAAAAGGCATGAGCTAACGAGCTGCTCAGCTACTTTGATAAAGCATGTCGGGAAAGAAAATATCAGGAGATTCCTAATGTGAGTCTGTACTTTTAAGGACAGGTAGGAAGAAAGGATTGACAATTGTCTCTTTTTAGTACCTTAGTTTAAATCTCTAAAATGGAGAAAGAATGTGCTACTACTTCTGCAGTTAGAAATCTATCCCTTCGCACCATAACTTAGTTTTACGTAACCAGCAGAGATGTTCACAAGGAATGTCAGATCAGGCTCATCAGCTGAAAAGTAGTAATTTTAATCATACACTTTTTCCTAATGTAGTTCTTTCCTCTAAATACATTACAGAATGCTTTGTAGTGACAGATGAAAGATTTAACATTTAGAATATAATAATGTAACTATAGTTATTTACAGGCTGCAATTTGAATAAGGAAAGGCAATAGACACGTAAATTCATTTTTCTGTAGCATTAGGGTGACTAAGCATCCTAGACTAACTAAAACACATCAGAAACAGAACCAATAGCAAGAGTCATTCTCTCAGATCCTGGAGTCAAAGCTCTTACATGATAGTACATTTTGCTAATTCTCTTTTTCTATCAATGCAGAGCTACAAAAAGGATGAGGACAAAATTATGATAAAAAACCAAGAACTCACCTGGGTCTACACATTATTTTTAGAGGCAAACAGGAAATGCACTTCCCTGTCAAGCTGGGTCAAAGGGAGGGGAGTGATCGAGTTGAATGCTCTGCACTCACCGTTCCTACCAAAGGGTAGATGAATCCAGCTCCGATACTGGCTCGCACATCACTGATTGGCAAAATGAAACCAGTGGGAACACCCTTCCTCTCAGGCTGATGGGAGAGCGATAGGTGAGTTTTTGCCATACAAATGGGAAGATTTCCAAATCCCTAACAGAAAAGGGAAAGAAAACAAAATTAAAATGATTTTAAGATTACAGTAAAGAAAGAATATATTTTCATTTTGTTATCAGTATCTTCTAGAAATCCTAAAATCCATACAGCAATAGTTAACCTCAGTTTCTTAGCAGCTAATAATTCAGAAATGGACAGAACACTGTATTTCATGTCCTGTTCTCTCTCAGCTCAGGCCTGTATCTCCAAAGACTTGGCTCTAGTGATATCCAGCTTCTAAAGTAGGCTCTCAATCTAGACTTAGGTGCAAAAGTTGCCTATACAACAGCTAGAGTGTGTATTTTCAGAAAGGGTGCATAATGGGTATGACACTGAATAAGAAACCCGCACCAACTCAATAAAACTCCAGTACAGCCCTTCCCTCTGGACTGTAATGACCTAGTTAGACACCTACTTGGGAACAGGATTCATAGTCCAAAACTCTCTAAGGGTACTAATGTCTTCTTGGGGGTAGACATAAATGGCTCATGATGCTTTGCCTTGTTTTGAAACAAGACAAAAACTACATGAGGTGATGGCACCCACTTCACTAATGACAGTGCAGTAGTTACTCAAAAAGTAGCAGAAAATCAGGGAAAGGCCCCCACAGCTCCCTCTACACTATTTGTCTCCCAGGTTATCGATTAACCTTCAGTCAGGCACCTTCCACTCTTCTGTTTAATTCCTTAACAAACAGGGATGCAATTCTCAAGGCCAGGAGGAGAGGCAGCACTGCAGTGAATTCCCTCCGTAGCCCAGCACTGACGACAATCCTTTTATGACATTGTGAAAACATTTCCCAATACTACTAACGTTTAGACTAAAAAATGAATAGAGAATCACAGCAGGAAAAGAGAAAGACATGGATTATTTTGCTTCAAGTACACTTAGTAAGCTTCTTTTCCATCTTGAAAATTGAATTAATTCTCAGGAGATTTGCATTATAGAGAAGACGGCTATACTTCTGCCATATACTGTCTGACCAGGCTGCTGAAGCATACTCGGGAATTTTTCCATGACACATTGTTCATAGTTTCTATTTTCTGACAGAATGGCTCCAGCCATGTTTATGTGTAGAAGCTATTCCATTACAGAAAATACATTCACTTCTCCACATGGTTTCAAAACTGTTTTCAAACTGTAACAAAGCCCATTCCCACATGCTTTAGGAACGGTGATCTAGTCCACCTTCTAGCATTTATAACCCCTCGAAAATAATACCAACAGAAGAAAACCAAAATATTTTACTAGCATTGTGAGCTTTGTTATTAATGTGCATAGCTATGTACAGGTCTTTTTGTATTTACAAACTCATTTTCTGCAGGTACAAATGAACACTCATATGCTAAAACTGGGCACATTCACCAGCTGCTACTTTTGCAGATGTGCAGTTGTCACATTTAAGGCAGCAACCCAAAATTACCACTCTGCATAGAAAGTACAGAGTTTCAGCAACAATCTCAGAATGATTCCAATACCACACATATCTTACAGGAGATAGAACAGAATGGTTTTAACCTTGAAAGCTATCTAATCTAATCTAAATTAATTCATACTGACCTCCACAGTTTAGCACCAGGGGTAAGCTCAGGCCTTTTAGCAAAGATTGATTAAACACTCCAATCTGAGAAACTTTTACATGCTGAGGTTTCCCAAGACTCTCATCCAGCAGGTACTTGACTGCGTAATTCACTGGTGTTCTTACCTGCCGGGTGTAACGATCAACTTGTGACTGTGCAGCAGGAGACAACTCTATATCCTGAGCTCCATACACCTTCTGAGCAATGATCCTTATTTTTTCAACAATAGGAAGCTGCAGAGACAAGGAAACAATATGAGGATGAACATCAGCCAAGAGAAACTAGGATCTTGTTTGCTGAGTGAGAAATCTAAATCTCTCAATTTGGATACATCCTTGTTAAGCAGGCTTGCTAAAGCATGAAACTAAGTAAAGGGCACTGGTGATGGATATGATATTCAGCTACAGGTACATGAATTACAGCCATGATTTCAACTACTCCATCATTTAGGAGCTGTACAATTTGTGCATTACAAAGTTGACAACAAGAGTTTACTCTCTTGCCTAAAGTGGGGGAAGAAAGTTACTGCCACGTAGTTTTAAGAATCAAGAGCTAACACACACTGCATATACTGGGTTAACAGGTATCACTAGACAAATAAATATCATTTCACAATAAAAATAACCTATACAATGAATGGAGCAGGCAGCTAGGGAAGGTTTCTCAGAGAAGCAAGGAAATGTAGCAGAAAATTCTGGACCCATCACTGCTCATTTGACTGTAATTTTTTTTTTTTTAAATTCTCACCTGCTACCCTTCCTAACATACATATCCTGAATTGTAGCACTGATATTGTAAAGCACTTTGGACACTTAAAAAAAAAAAAAAAAAGAATATGAAAGCATTCTAGGACATGCTTTGAAATCACAAATCATTAAGTTCAACCCCAGCCTCCATGAGTGTCCCCATCACGTTACTCAGCTCAAACTGGCTGCGTGTTCTGCCTTTATGGCTTCTGTTTGGAGGCAGATGCAGACTCTCACATTTCAGGCTGTTAGAAATCCTTTCACAGATTTTCAGCAGACAGTTTTTTGTGGTCAGATCAGGCATTTACTTTTTGTGCCATCATTTCTGTTTATTTAGAGTAAACAACTCTTTCCTCTTTCTCCTTTTGTTTTGAAGGACCTGGCAGACAGCAGTTAAGACCCCTAAAGCCTATTTTAAACAAGCCAACCTCTGACTTCTTTCAATAGCAAAAGGATGATGGAGGAAGGATCATACCATCAGTTCAGCTACTTCTGTGCTGACCGCAGATGGACAGAGATGTGATACTCCAGAGAAGATGCCACCAGTAATTTGTACTCTAGCGTATTTCACAGAACCATAGACTCATAGAATGTTGTGAGTTGGAAGGAACCCACAAGGATCATCGAGTCCAACTCTTGCCCTAGCGTAGGACAATCCCAAGATTCAGACCATGTGTCTGAGGGCCTTGTCCAAATGCTTTTTGAATAGTCAGGCTTGGTGCCATGACCACCTCCCTGGGGAGCCTGTTCCAGTGCTCCACCACTCTCTGCCTGAAGAACCTTTTCCTAATATCCAATCTAAACCTCCCCTGGCACATCTCCCTGCCATTTCCCCTGGTCCTATCATTGGTCACCAGAGAGAAGAGATCAGGACCCACCCCTCTTCTTCTCCTTGTGAGGAAGTTCTAGACTGCAATGACATCTCCTCTCAGTCTCCTCTTCTCCAGGCTGAACAAACCAAGCGACTTCAGCCTCAACTCTTACGGCTTCCCCTCTAAGGCCTTCACCAACTTAGGGGCCCTGCTCTGGACTCTCTCCAGTAGCTTTATATCCTTTTTATACTGTGGTGCCCAAAACTGCACACAGTACTCGAGGTGAGGCCACACCATGCAGAGCATCTCCTCCCAATTTGGTGTCATCAGTGAACTTAGTTATCAGTCCTTCGAGCCCTGTATCCAAGTCATTGATGAAGACATTACAGAGCACCGGCCCCAGGATGGATCCCACTAGTGACCGGTCACCAGCCTGATGTAATCCCACTGACTAGAACCCTTTGAGCCCGACCTGTCAGCCAGTTGCTCACCCATAGCAGTTTGTGCTTATTCAGCTGTATGCTGGACATTTTATCCAGGAGGATACTGTGAGAGACAGTGTCAAAGGCTTTACCAAAGTCCAAAAAGGTTACATCAACTGGCTTCCCTTGGTCAGCTAGGTGGGTAACCTTATCATAGAAATAAATTAGGTTTGTATTTCATTATCAACACATGTGGCAGAAGTGTTGAACAAAATCTAAAGAGATACCACTTGGGCTATCTCTTGGGGAAGAAGACTTGGTAATCTCAAGCGATACAAAAAGCTCCAGAACACAAAATAGAAGTATTTAATTTTACTCCAACAAAGGCAAGAAATTGCTTTGTGAATAACAAACTCTATCTGGTGCATTTATAGGAAGTTCCACAGTTAATCAAATTTTTGCAATGCCTGTCTAGAAGTAATGGTTTTTCTGAAAAGGTACATTAGTTGAAGGATTTGTGTCAGACTGCCCTTTTTTGTATTTATGATTGAATTTTAGAAAAAAATAAATTTTAAAGTAGTTTGCCTTTACATTAATAAAGAATGTCAGTAACAGGGACATGACAAGAAAGAAAGCTTGCTAGACTTTCAAGTAGCTTAAATGTAAGGCAGTTAAAAGCTACTAAGGCTCAAATAAAATCCCCCCCCCCAGATATGAAATTTCAAAGTGAGGTTTAAAGATATTCCACAAGACACTTTCTGAACATGCTGACTATATGACTATTTCACCTGAACTGGGCAGAATGATGTCATGTTCCTGACTTTAAGCTTTTTACAGGAAGCCAAGCAGTAAAAAAAATAAAAAATAAAAAAAATAATTAAAAATCTAATGAGGACTGGAGGTAATAAATTGCAAATATCCTGGATATAATTCCTAGCAGCATTAAGCTGAATGGAATACTTAGTGACATGGACAGTCATCACGACTTCATTCAGGTTGATTATTAAATATGTTCATACCCACAGCAGTTTTGAACACAGTGGAAGAAATGCAAAATGTGTCACTTAACTTGTCTTTTGGGTGCTGTTTGCTTGCAGTCAAGGACTAACAGCAACAGCAAAGGCAAAAGGAATTCCACTTCCCGTTGTCAGTAAGCCAACATCAAAACTACCAGCTTTCTGCTTAAACCTCAGTAAATCCATTGAGATGGAGACGTTCATTTAGATTCAACTTGCATTTGTGTCAAGTATTTCAAACTAATTTGACAGCAGCATAATTACTATGCCCTCAGACCCCTTCCAGTGCCCATAGCTGTAGCTTCCAAAGGAAACTCAGCAGGGCTCTGGCTAACATCAGAGCAGACTGCTTTAATGACTGGTGGCATTCTGCTCCTCCTGGGATGTGTGCAAGATCTTGCATGAGTGAGTCTGAGCTGGACAGTCAAACTGTATCCCTAGGGATTTATGTTTGGGTTTTTTTTTAAAACCAGAATTTTAGATACTTTTCAGGTCAGCACCCACACCTCAAATTTTGCCAATGTAACCTCAGAAGAATCACCAATGGGGAAGCAGTTATGAGAGTGTAAATGGCAAACAAAAGTGGTTTCCTGAGACTGCCACATGTTTTTGCAAGGCATGCACATACAAACGGGTGAGGCAATGTGCATGGTGTCAGAGAAGAGTTTGAGCCTATTTAATCTCACAACATGGGTAGATGAGTTCTGAACACAACTCAGATTGGAGCCAGCAGGGAGGCACAGATGCTCTATAGATATTAACATAGCCCACACATATGCAACACTTTCAGACATTCTTCCTTCCTGAAGTT